GTGAAAGGAGCCCCCATGTAGTTTGGTGTTTTGAAGCCCTTATTACAGAGAAAGTAATTAATGTAGGAAAGATTTATGAATGATAGCACCATCTAGAGGGAAATGGGAGTAAAAAGAAACTGGGAGAGGTTGTTAGAGAAATGAAGAAGAGAAAAGAATTGTAGTGTGGAATTTTGTAAGGAGTGGAAATAGAAATAAAGGTAGGAGAGTGATAACCCCCCCCCCCCAAAACTGGATAAATAAGAGAAATAAAAGCTCTTTTTGCCAAGAAACTCAAATTAAGAGGAAGGTTCCAAAAATTGCACCTCGTTGGGGTGAAACCCCCAGGGATGCGTATGTGTTGTGTAGGTGTTAGCAGTACTGTTCTCACTATACGTTCATTGAACAGCAGCGCAACCCCAAGACAAGGATGGTTAGCGGACGGCGCGGCTGGGAAGGCAGGGAGGAGTCCGCGGTAGCTTGTCAGGTCACAGGGACGGCTGTTCGAGTGGTTGCCGTTGGCGGGCTTGGCGTGTCCCGGTCGGGTGTTGGGAGGGACAAGGGAACCCTTCCCGCGGGTCGCCTCCGACGAAGGAAGCCCCCTTTAGCCCCCCGCTTTGCGGATTGCAGGCGGCACCCACAATGCACCGCGGGACCCAGCCCGCTGATTTGCATAGAGGGGCGTGAAAGCGAAAGCAGGGAGAGAAGGGGAAGCTGACGTCACCGAGGCGGGGCGGGGCCTTCTTTGCAAGGCGCGTTCGGGGCTGTTGCAGACGCAAAGGGCTCCTTGTCGCTCGTGGCCGCGGCTTTTCGCTGAGCGGCTCCTTTGTTCCGCGAACGCCTCGCTGCAGCAGACTTTCATTCGCGCAATGCCTGATTTGCAGCAGGCTCGTAGGAAGTCCATTGTTAAAAATACTTCTGCTTTGGGGTGAACGGCCTTCGGTTCACAGGAGTTTTTATGTCAGAGAAGAAAAAGTTGCCCGTCTTTAGTGCGTCGCAAGATTCCCGTTTATTTTTTTTTGCCAGCGGGGACTAGCAACAGTTACAGCTCTCTGGGATTATGTTCTCTTTTAATGGTTTTGTAAATTTAGGCGTGTAGATTTTTTTAAAAACAACAACAACAAAGTCTTTTATGGGTTTTGACATTTGAATTGAACCAGTAACGTTACAACAGCAGCAACAAGAGTGGAAAAGGAATGAAAAATACAAATGCAAAAGTAAAAACAAAAAACAGAAGATGAATATCGAATACAGTAAATAGAATACCGGTTGCAGCGATACAAAAAGACCAGTTAAAGTTACATTAAGTGTATTATATCGTAATATTTACATGGAACTTGTAAAGTTGAAGTATTATCTCTGTTAAAAAACTGATTCAAGAAAAGGGAGCCGTTTAAGTTGGAATTTGCAAATGAGTATATTCCATTCAACATAGTAGCATTGTCTTCCGAGCATAGGATCCTGGCATAAAGATCTAGTTCTTGCAAGGCGGTGGCTTTTAACCTCCTTTTGGGTCACCGGCCTCTTTGAGAATCTGGTGAAAGCTATGGCTCACCTCCCAGAAAAATCTGCTGGACTGCCAGATCAGCTACTATCAATTTCTTTATGTTACACTGTAAATACCTGATATTTCCTTCCCTACCTAACATTGAACATCTACAAAGGGGTCCATAAGAACTCCTGCTTTAGAGTAACTCTGCTCAATAATATACGTTCATAACAAACAGTTGTTACTTTAATTTTTTAAATCAATTTAGAGATTATTTTGTTTGGATCATAACTCAATGAAGATCCAGTTTAGTGCTTTTATTATTAATACTGTTATCTGTGTTATTGATAATTTCACTGTTAGCCATTTTAGAAGGGTTACAGCTAAGATGTGGCATACATATTCCTTCAGTCAGTAAAAAGGCACAGGTTTGAATGAATGCTGGCATACTTGCATATGCCATAAATATATGGGAAACAAAACTAGGTTTAGTTCAAATACTTTGGTTTAATTGCATTTGGAACAAGTGAGTCACCTGAATTTAAGACTTCACACAGAAATGTCAGTGTAATCAATGTTCCCTCTAAACTGTGGAGTCTTGTGAGCAAAAATTCTATTTCGTGAGCTACTGGCATTCAAGTTGTGAGCAAGTGATTTGGCCGCTGCATAAATTAGTTTGCTCTGGAGCCGTCTTTCCTGAGCGAAGACAGAAATGTGTGAGCCGGAGGCTTAAAAACTGTGAGCTAGCTCACCCTAACTTAGCTTAGAGGGAACACTGCCCGTGGGCACCTTTGGAATGCTGACACCAGGTGGTGGGTGCAGCCACAAAATGGGAGGCAGAGCCAACCACAAAGTATCAGGGAGTGGGGTTAGTAGGTCTTCAACATTTCAGGCAGAACCTCTCTTTAACAGTAGGCCTTTTAAAATTAACGTACTCTTACGATATTTTCTTGCATAATCACAAAACAAGAGTATATATTGAGCTAGTTAAGAAACCCTTAAATGGCACTATCGGGGCAGGATAGTGGTTAAGTGCGCAGACTCTAATCTGGGAGAACCGGGTTTGATCCCCTGCTCCCTGACTCAGCTTAGAGGGAACACTGAGTGTAATGCTATCTATGCAGAACTCTTGTTCTTATGTTCCACAGTTCCATACACACACACCCCCATTGGAAACCCAACCTTTTTCATCCTGTGGGCAATGCTTCCTCTAAGCTGTGGAGTCTTGTGAGCAAAAATTCTACTTTGTGAGCTACTGGCATTCAAGTGAGCAAGGAAATCCTCCTCCTCCTTCTTCTTCTTGCCTTCCACGAGAGGGTAAAAACTTTTTGTATGTTTTATGTTTTGTATTTAATTGTGTTAAATATTATACACACACACACACATGTCCCCGCTGTCTCCCTCGGCTTAGAGGGAGCATTGGTCCCCAGGATTAGAGACTGAGCAGGAAACAAGTGTGGCACTTAATGCCTTAAAGATGGGGCTGAAACCCTGGCTCATAGAGATTGATGGTCCGTTTTTTTAAAAAGCCCCACACTCAAGCATCTTCCTTCCTAGGATATAGTCTCTCTTACAACATCATTGTACTCTCCTTCATTTTCAGGTGAAAGTCATCTTGGGTCCCCGTTGGGTAAAAAACCAGGGTATAAATGTTTAAGATTAAAATAAGTTAAATGGTTGCCAGGGTTTTCCTAGGACTGGGACAACAATGGTAGTTAAAGACACTGCGCAAGTGTTTGAAAGAAGCACTTGGCTACAGTCCTGTGCACACTTACTTGGGAGTGAGCACTATTAAACACAGTCGGAATTGCCTTTGAGTTCACATGCATGAGGTTTAACTGTGTACTACTCTGCTCCTGAGTTCTGCATAAGATTCACATGAGTACCTGAATGATCCACAGAGCCCCATGAACTTTACATTAGTTCCATTAATCTCAACCTAGCTTAATTTGTGAACATGATTTAGGGGATTTTATATATATAATTTTTTTTTAGTGGGTAGTATGTACCAGTGTGGTAGGGCTGTGGTGGCTCAAGTGGTTAAAACGCTGAACTGCAGGCTGGAAGGTTGGTAGTTCAACAGTTCGAGACCTGAGTGCCGCATGACGGAGTGAGCTCCCGTCTCTGGTCCCAGCTCCTACCAACCTAGCAGTTTGAAAGCAAGAAATTGCAAGTAGATAAATAGGTACCGCTTCGGTGGGAAGGGAACAGCGTTCCGTGTGCCTCGGCGTCTAGTCATGCCGGCCACATGACCACGGAAACATCTTCGGACAGCGCTGGCTCTTCGGCTTGGAAACAGAGATGAGCACCGCAACCCTAGAGTCAGATTCAACTGGCTTTCAAGCAAGGGAAACCTTTACCTTTACCTATGTATCAGTGTGGCAACAGGATGTGCCTCCACTGTTTCTTCTTTAAGTGATCTATCCTGAATTTGCTGTTATCTTAAATATTAATAAGTTCCATATTTCTCTTTCTTTCTTTCTTTTTTAAAAAGGTTGTCCTGCTGGGTTTGGACATCTTATCTGCGCTGGTGTCACGACTTCAAGAAAGATTTAAAGCCCAAATTGGCACAGGTAAGACCACGGGGACCAGCTGAACCAAAAGTGCTGTGAATACTGGATTGTGAGTTGTTCTGTTTGGCTTACTGCCCCGCTGCTAGGGATGGTAACATTTAAGGTGGAAGCAGAGAGCCTGCTGGCAACTCCCGTCTGGCTGCTGTGGAGAAATAACTAGTTGTAGCAGCAAAGGTGGTAAAGGTCTGGGACTCAGTTGCCTGCATGTACACACAAACACGGTCCTTAGTGTAAAAGGGCTGGCTTGGTAGACAGTATAAGGTGGACCCTGTCCCCGCTGTCTCCTCGTCCTTTCTGTAACGTCTCCTCTGGACTTTGCAGCATGCGCCTGAGTTGTGTGGAAGGACAAAGCAATGGCTGCTTGCGCCATCACTCTTGGCAGGGTAAAATAAGAGGTTTGCTTCCTCTAGCAGATGTGGGTGGATCCAAGGAGAGAGGAAGGAAAGAAGATGTGGCATGTGTGCCATCCTTCAAGGTGTATGGGCTGCTGAACAGAGAGGAGGACTCTTTGGGTTGCAGTCTGGGGATCCTACTGGATAATCCTGTTCAGAATCCCTTGTGCTTTCAAATCTTCCTTCCAAGCCCAAGGACTCCACATCAGCTTTATCCCCCCCCCCCCCCCCCCCCGAACAATTATGCATTCTCAAAGACTGCATGATGAAAATACAGGCACTGACTACGTCCTCCAAGTGAGTAAATTATAGATCGGTCTGTATAGTGTTTACGATCATATCAATGTCAGAGCATGTTTTTCTCTTGCATTGTATAACTAGATACCAGAACAGCTTCTTTGTTGTTAGCCAGTTAGCCTGTCCCTGTTTTTTCATACTTACCTTTCTTTTTTAGAATAAACATCCTTGCTTTTTTCCCCTTCAGTGCTGCCCAGTTTAATTGACAGATTGGGAGATGCGAAGGATTTAGTGCGAGAACAGGATCAGGCACTGTTGCTCAAAATCATGGAGCAGGCTGCTAACCCTCAGGTGAGTTCCTGGAAGTGTCTAATTTCTGCATAAAACCAAGTGGGGATCTTGTTTTGTGGCCACTCAGTAGTATACTTTCCAAATAGGTAGGTGCCACCTAGCCTGTCAAATACAATATTTTGCAGATCTTACTGCCAGGGAGCAAGAGGTAGCGGAAACAAGTATACCGCAGGGGCACGGTAGCTTTCAATGAACTTTTGAGTGGACGCTACAAAAGTGAAGGACTTAATACTGAGTTACTCAATGAGTTAGAATCAGGGATCTTAAATAAGGCAACTGAGTGCAGCTAGAGAACCCAACCACCTTGTGAACTATTTTGAAGAGCCTCCATGGTCACTTTGTAATAAAAGGTTTTAAACTGAAATGCATTATTGCAACCAGGAGAGATCTCTCTCCGTATTGATCCCTAAAGAAAGAAAAGAACGAAGTTATCAACTACTTTCCCTTTACGTTCTTCGTGATTCTAGGTGACTTTCTCATGCTTTACAGTCAGTTGACTCTGCGACTTGCTAATCTGGAAGCAGCCAAGCGTTTATGTAGGGAAGGCCGCGAAAAAACTTCAGCATTCATGAGCTATGGTTGATGAGACTGTTCTGGTTATGGTGCAAGGTAGACATATTGAGTATAATAAGATGGTAGTAAATAATGTGCAGGTTAAGGAACAATATCTAAGAGCTCAGTTTTTTATTTCCCCCCCTTTTTTGCCCTCATTTGTAAAACATTTGTGGGAAAGTTGCAGAGAATGAAATGTTGGGGTAAGATGTCAGAAATCTGAGGCTGTGTCATTTGCACTTGAAGACAGGAGGCTGCAATTTTTGAATGCTCCCCATATGCAAAGTGCTTTTCGTTGGGTAGAAGCATTAAAATATACTCCACTTCACCTGCTGTCGCAAGTTTTCCAGCTAAGAATTCTCTCCCTCTCCCTTCCATTGATCATTCTGTGTGATGTGTAGATTGATTCTCTAACCAAGCAAAACTTCAATAAAGTTTAAAAGCCAGTCTGGGGGAACACACTGCCTGCAAGATCAATTCTCAGCCCTTTCTAGCCAGATCGGTTTTTAATTTTTCTTTCATCCTGTTGCCCTCCACTGCTGTTGACTTTACTTAGCAGTCTGGAAGGGTGAGAAATCCCACAGTCAACTTTATGTGTTCTGAAATAGGCCTACATTCAGCATACAGAGATTTCCCCATTGCTGCAACATGTTGGCCTCTGTTCTAAGAACATTTTCCTTGGAGTAAGCCCCACCAAATAAAGTAGAGCTTACTTCTGAACAGACCTGTGTAGGATTGCTCCCTGTGTTAAGATTTGAGCTGCACCTGTGGAAAATGTCTTCCTTATAGCTTGCCTTCCATAAAGCCCTGACCAACTTAGATATGTTTGCCCTCTTTATAGAAAGTCTTGCTTGAATGTCTGGCTTCCATCAGTGGCCCGACAGGCATTTTTTATACTTTTTGCATTACATAAACATAGTCTTTGTTGCTTGTACTCAATTTTAGTGTCTCTTTCCTTGTATTTAGTCTTAACTGAAGAAGAATTTTGAAATGAAGTTATTAATATCCAGAACCTTCGTATCAACTCATCGGAATACTTACTTGCTTGGCCTACTTATGCTTTATAGCATTTATGTATTATTCTTGTGCATGTTGTATTCGATGGCTTTGTTATTCTTGATTTAATATTCTCATTCATGTCCTTATATTACAATATTGTATTTATTAGCTACTCTTAGCGTCTTCTATTGTGCACAGCTTTGCTTATTTTTTGATTTTCTGCTGTGTGATCACTTACTGTTTATCTATCAATGCATGGGCGGAATCCCCTGCTGTTCAGGGGTGGGACTTCTCCCACCAGCTAGCTGACTGGTGGCGGATTGGTGCCTCCAAAATTGGGGGATCCCCTGGCTCCACCAGGGGGATGGCAACCCTAATTTAAACCTGGATCTTCATGTTTTTAGTTTGACAGTATCGTCACTATACCATGGAGGTGCATGCTGTGTGTGAATGGTAAAAGCAAGGCTTTCTGGCGTGTCAGGGTGTGAATATGACAGGCAGCAAGCAATGCGAAAGTGGGCAGGATCCATTACCCACTGATCTAACTAAACTGATCTTTATTGCAGTTATTTGTGAATCTCTAATTATTCCCAGTTACGCATTCTTTGCCTGTCCCCTTTTGCGTCCACAAGATATTCAGAATCAAGAACTGTAAAATTACAGCCGATCTAAGTTGTTTTTCTTACGTTCTTCTTTCTCTGTGGCAGTATGTGTGGGACAGGATATTGGGAGGATTCAAGCACAAGAACTTCCGGACGAGGGAAGGGATTTGCCTCTGCCTTATTGCAACGCTCAATGCGTAAGTTGGGGGCACGCGGCTCTTTTCAATATCTGTATTCAGATCTGTTTTTTTTAAAAAAAATACTCAGTCCAGGCTTTTCTTCTTCTTTTTCTGTCTTACTAGATCTGGAGCTCAGAGTTTAACACTGAGCAAGATTGTGCCACATATATGTAACTTACTTGGAGATCCAAATAGCCAGGTGAGTTTTCAGTGAAATTAATGTGTTAATATTCTTCTGAGAGAGAGAGAGACTCAGGGTGAAATGAAAGGCTAGGGATATATGTTCACACCTTGAGCTGGAAGATTTATGGAACTGGAAACTTTAAAATCCTTCTTCATTGAACTCAGAGCATGGTGTTGTCTGTGTTGGAGCTAATGTTAAAAGTCCAAGTCTTAAGCATGCTTATGTATGAATAGTTATCCAATTGACTTATGTGAGGATTTGATTTCACCCCTCTCTTATATCTTTCTCCTAAAGCCTGCCTACAAATATTTGTGTGGGGCAGGGCAAGGGTTGCCAACCACCTGCAGAAAAAGTCACACTGTTTCAACACAGGCTGTTAAGTGCGCGGACTCTAATCTGGGAGAACCGGGTTTGATTCCCCACTCCTCCACTTGCACCTGCTGGATGACGTTGGGCAAGCCCTAGTTCTGATAAGAGCTGTTCTTGAAAAAGAGCAGTTTCTGTCAAGAGCTCTCTCAGCCCCACCTGCCTCACAGGGTGTCTGTTGTGGGGAGGGGAAGGGAAAGGAGTTTGTGAGCCGCTCTGAGACACCTTTGGGTAGTGAAGGGGGGGGGTATAAATCCAATCTTTTCTCTCTCTCTCCTCTTAATGTGTAGAACTGGGAAATTGAAGCTTTTCATTGCACAGAGGTAAATCACATCCCTTTCAGCCTCTGTCAAAGGGGCAGGACACTTTTTCCCAAGCTTGTTGGCAACCCTAGGCAGAACTAAGAGATCACAGCAATGGGACCATGGTACCAACTGTGGTTAACATGTGGGATAACTAAACTGTCTCAGGGACAGGGCTATTTTTGGGCAGGAACGCACAGGAACGGAGTTCTGGCTGGCTCCCGAGTTGGCCACGCTCAGCAGGAGTTCATTAGCATAACAGGCCACACTCAACAGCTACATTAGGGGTGTGTGGCCTAACATGAAAAGGAGTTCCTGCTACAAAAGAAGCCCTGGGTTTTGACAACAAACAAGGTAAACAGAATAAGGAGCAAAAGGTGGGTGTGGCTGGATGACCACACTTCTGGTAACATGGGGGTGTGGCCTAATAGGCTAATGAGCTGTGCTGTCAGGGGTGTGGCCTTAACATGCTAATACATTTCTGCTGTTGGGTGTGGTCTGTTATGCTAATGAGTTCCTGTTGGGCTTTTTCTACCAAAAGAGCCCTGCTCAGGGACAAAAGTGAGGCGTAATTAAACACATTCCCAGTATCTGCTTCCATGTTGGCATGAAGTAGGTAAAAAAGTATCGGGAGGATTTGAAGTGATTCCTTGTGTTTGGGCTTTACAGTGTTTCTCTTGTGCACTTCGATCTCAAATTCTGAAGAAGAAGAAGAGATTGGATTTATACCCCGCCCCTCACTACCCAAAGGTGTCTCAGAGCGGCTTACAAACTCCTTTCCCTTCCCCTCCCCACAACAGACACCCTGTGAGGCAGGTGGGGCTGAGAGAGCTCTTGACAGAAACTGCTCTTTTTTCAAGAACGGCTCTTATCAGAACAACGCTTGCCCAAGGTCATCCAGCCAGGTGCAAGTGGAGGAGTGGGGAATCAAACCTGGTTCTCCCAGATTAGAGTCCGCACACTTAACCACTACACCAAACTGGCTGTGCCAAAGCAACATAAATTCTGCCACAGCTCAAAATGCCCAGGGCATTTTGGACTGCAGCAGGAGGGGGAAGACGAGAAAGTTGCAATGTGCAAATGGAATTGTTTCCAACTGTGGAGAAAATGCAATGGATCCAAGCCTTTATTTGACATTTCTAGTAATGGGGAGCAACAGGGAACCAGACAAGGCAAAAAAACGTTGCCCTGTATCTATTTTGTAAGGGTTTCCCCCACCCCCCCTGCTCTTCCTGCAAGGAGATCAGTGCAGTGATGTGATTCTCCCCTTCCTATTTTATCCTTGCAACAACCCCATAAGGCAGGTTAGGCTGAGCAGGTATGCCTGGCCAAAGGCTGCCCAGTGAACATTATGGCAGAGTGAGGATTTGAACCCAGATCTTCCAAATCCAAGTCTAGGGCTCTAACCACTGCACAACACTGCCATCCTCCTGACCTTTTTCCAGCCTACCTAAAATCCCATCTCTGTTTTTTGTTGTTGGGGATTCCACAAAGTAGTGTTCATATACTTTCAGAGCCCCTCTCCCTCAAATGAAAGCTGAAATTCTTAGGATGTTGAATACCTTGCTCAATATCAAGTGCCTTGCTCTGGTGAAGCCGAGGAACAACTTGTTTCTTGTTAATGGTGGCCAGGATTCTGCATCTTACAAAAAGATCAAACATAAACTCCTACCTTTTATCAGGCCAAACTTTTGCTTATCAGAGTTTGCAAGCTTTTAGGTTTCACAGAGCTCCTATGTACGAAGAATGCTGAAAAGCTGAATCTTAGCTGAACAAACGGATAGATGGCCTGTGTGGTTCGTCTGTAACAGAGGAATTGGTGTTTTCCAAACAGTTTGCTTATTATTCCTCCATTTAGAGAATGTCTGTGTCTAATTTCCACATGGTGCCCTAAGGCAATAAAGCTTTCTTAGAAATGTCCTTGGCTGACACCGCCGAACGATATATAAAAACCCCATTTGGTTGAGATTAAATCAATGCACTAGTAGTTTAATACATTCTTTTAACAGGGATTATGCTCAGCCTTTGGCAGAGGGACAGACTCTACAATCTGATAAGACATTATCCTTTGCTTACTACTGCTAGTTGTGTACGAGGTTACAGATAAAAGCTGCAGTGAGTAGATTGCGGAGCAGTATTGCCCTCTGTTGGTTGAAGTTGTTAAGACAGAAAAGTTGGTTCCTCTTTCAGTTAAAGTTTTGGTTATCTTTAATATTAGGTTAGGGCTGCCGTGGCTCAGAGGTTAAGATGCTGAGCTGCAGACTAGAAGGTCAGTAGTTCGGCAGTTCAAGACCCGAGTGCCGCATGACGGAGTGAGCTCCCGTCTCTAGTTCCAGCTCCTGCCAACCTAGCTGTTTGAAAGCAAAAAATCACAAGGAGATAAATAGGTACCACCTCGGTGGGAAGGTAACAGCATTCCGTGCACCTCGGCGTTTAGTCATGCCGGCCACATGACCACGGAAATGTCTTCGGACAGCGCTGGCTCTTTGGCTTGGAAACAGAGGTGAGCACCGCAACCCTAGAGTCGGATTCGGGAAACCTTTACCTTTACCTAATGTTAGGTTGTTTAAATATTGTTCTATTCCTTCATGTCCCATGGAGCGTTTCCCCAAATGGAATGAATGATGATTTTTGTTAACCCCTTCCCGACCTCCAACTTCCCACTCATGCTCTTCCTGGGGCTTCGCACATTTTAGGCAGTGTTCGGGGTGTATGGCAAAGTGGGAGGAGGGGAAGTCCTGTATCTCAGATAGAAATCTTTTCTGCCCATGAAAATTTTGGTGGATCCATTGTTTTAATTAACATTTTACCAGGTTCTAAATATTCAGAGTATTTCAGTTCTTTCGGTGCAAGATAATTATTGTTTACTAGTAATGCTGTTGGGAATGGTATCAGTGGTTAGCATTATAATTTATCATTGCAGTCACTGTAAAGACGTCTAGGTGATATCACTATTACCTGTGAACGTATCTCCTCCATGTGGTTCCTTATGTAGCCATTTAGTACCACATGTTAGGTAGAATCCAGGGAAAGATAGTCACAGCTGCTCCACATTGTTGTTTTTGAGGGATTTATATGTGACTGAGGCATGCTGGGTTGTGCCCATTGCCTGTCTGCTGGTCCAGTAATAACACTTAATAATTTTGCTGGTGAAGACTAGGGGGTTTAAGCTTAATAGGAGACTACTGTGAGGCCCATGTAAGGTGCCATGAGCTTTCGAAAAAGGAAGCATCAGGTAGAAATACAGTAAAACGAATAAAATGTTGGATAGAAATCCTTACATTGGTTTTCAGATCTCTTTGATGCAAATTGAGCACATAGAGAAAAAAATCTCCCACTTGCCAAATCATCTTTACAGAAGAGCCAGCATGAGAGAAAGAACCAAATCTGTCATGTCTTTCCTACTAGTGCAAACTATATTGAGTTATGCAAACAAAACAGCCCTGACCGGGATGGCCCCGGCTAGTCTGATCTCTCTCACCAGATCCTGGAAGCTAAGCAGGGTCGGCCCCGGTTAGTATTTGGATGGGAGACCACCAAGGAAGTCCATGACAGCTACGAGGAGGCAGGCAACTGGCAAACCACCTCTGTTCATCTCTTGCCTTGGAAACCCAGTAAATAGGCTGGGACGTGATCAATGTTCCCTCTAAGCTGTGGAGTCTTGTGAGCAAAAATTCTACTTTGTGGGCTACTCGCATTAAAGTTGTGAGCAGGTGATTTTACTACTGCATTAATTGGTTTGCTCTGGAGCCATCCTTCCTGAGCTAAGACAAAGATGTGTGAGCCAGAGGCTCAAAAACTGTGAGCTAGCTCACACTAACTCAGCTAGGAGGGAACATTGGTTGATGGCACTTTGTGTGTGCCCGTGCGGACATGCACACACACACACACACACAAACCAGTAGTGTGTGTGGATTTAGTAACTTACCTGTAAACTATAAGAACATAAGAGAAGCCAATGCGGGATCAGGCCAGTGGCCCATCCAGTCCAACACTCTGTCACAGAGTGGCCAAAAACACCAGGTGCCATCAGGAGGTCCAGCAGTGGGGCCAGGACACTAGGAGCCCTCCCACTGTTGACCCCCTCCCCAAGCACCAAGGAGACAGAGCATCATTTGCCCCAGAGTCCCTATCTATACCTTGTGGCTAATAGCCACTGATGGACCCCTGCTCCGTATGCTTATCTAATTCCCTCCTGAAGCCGTCTCTCATTTTAGAATCTGAAATAACATGTTCTCTGTTTCTGGCACAGGTAGTCCTTTTATCTTCAGAGCTGCCTTTCCGGCTTGAGAGGAATATGCTGGAAAAACTGTTTGGCTGCTTGTTAGGTAGGAAAAAAAAAACTTT